GGGGTGGGGCTTGTAGCAAGCCCCGCCCCCAGGAATCGGGCCCCGCTCTTGGTAAAGCCGGCCCTGGATGGAATAAACTGCAGGCTCAAATCAAGTCTCTGGAGTACATCCACAGCTGGGATGGGTCATTCAGTCCTTTGTTCAGAGCTTCAGTTTGCAGCAAAGTCCCACCAGAGGTCTGAAGCAGGATTGAGGACAAGATGGAGGAGCTGCAGCAGCCTTTTATAGTCTCTTGTCATGTGGCCTTTCTTTCTTTGTTCCAAAGACAAGCATTCGGGCACATGGCAAGAAAAAAACCTTAGAGTTCTGTCCATAGGCATGTCTCTGTATACCTTGCTGAGTCACAAATTTGTTAGTCTCTAAGGCCTTGGCTACACTGGTGATGTACAGCGCTGCAACTTGCTGTGCTCAGGGGTGTGAAAAAACACCCCCCTGAGCGCAGCGAGTACAGCGCTGTAAAGAGCCAGTGTAATCAGAGTATGCAGTGCTGCATGCTCGCTCGCACCACTGCAAGCTTTTCCCCTCGGAGAGGTGGAGTACATACAGCGCTGGGAGAGCTCTCTCGCAGCACTGGCGGCGCGACTACACTCGCGCTTCATAGTGCTGCCGCGGCAGCGCTGTGAAGTCCCAAGTGTAGCCAAGGCCTAAGGTGCCACAAGTACTCCTGTTCTTTTTGTGGATACAGACTAATACGGCTGCTACTCTGAAAGGTGTATCTGCCTTCTTTCAATGGGTCAGTTGTATAGCTGATGGTCCTTAATGAGCCATCAAGCAGGCTAGGAAGAGCTGACACCAACTTGTCTCGGGTGTCACCCAGAAGCACAGCATAAGTTTGAAATACAGACAGTATAGAGCCAATATTCATAACTTCAACTACAAAAATGATATAGATATAGCATAATCATAACCAGCAAATCATAACCTTCCCATAGACACCTCACACGACAACCTTTGTACAATATTTGCTGCAAATATATAACAGTGGTTGCAACAGTGATCTATATGGTTACAGATTATGTCAACAATTTTACACCTTGTGCCACGTTCTCCTCAGCAGCAGGTGGCACTGCCTCAGGGAGAGTGCAGAGCTGCCCACTTGTCCATCAGGCATCTCCTGAGATGGCATGGGGCAGCCACTGGGAGCAGGCTGCAAGGGCATGCTCCAAGCTACCCCCAACACGCACACACACTGATCTGGGCCTCGGAGGGCACACTGTGATCTACCTGCTTATGCCACCACCAACCCCCGCACACACACACACACACAGATCTAGAGCTGGGAGGGCACACTCCCCATTAGTCCACTACCTGCCCCACCCCTGCATTGGTTGCGCTGATCTGGGCTCCCCCTTTAGCACGCAGGTCCCACGACATGGTCTCTCTCTCGCGCGCTCTGCCCACAGGGCTGCGACATGAAGGCATTTACCGGAAGAACGGGGCCAAATCCCGGATCAAGGTGCTGATGGAGCAGTTCCGCAGGGATGCCCGCAATGTCAAGCTGCGGATCAGTGACAACTTCATTGAGGACGTGACCGATGTGCTGAAGAGATTCTTCCGGGAGCTTGAGGACCCCGTCTTCACCTCGGAGCTGCACCCCCAATGGAAGGAGGCTGCGGGTACCCATCTCCCTGCCGTCCTCCCTGCCGTCCCTCGGCCTCGCCACGCAGCAGCTGTTCTCTGCCTTGGGCTCCCTCTCACCCTGACGCCGCTTCTCCTGCCACCAAGGGCCACATGGCAGGGACAGACCTAGGCTAGCCCAGTGCTGAGCTCTGCTGGTGGGGGGCGCTCTGGGCCCCATTCTCCCCCTGCCCCTGGCTCCATCATTTGCACCAATGCACGGAGGTTGGGAATTATCCCAGTCTGACCTGGAGCACTGGCCCCACGAGGGGCCGGGTGATTGTTGTGAGTGTGGGTAAGTTGGGGCACAGCTCCCTGCCAGTCCATGCATGGCCTGGGGCCAGCAGCTCATGCCCGGTGATGGTAGTTGTGCCTTTGCGCAGTGTTGTGTTTGTGACCATCTGCTTCCTCCAGCAATAGCCCTGAAGCCCCAACGGCTGGAGCGCTACAAGGAGCTGATCAACCGCCTGCCCCGCCTCAACCGCAGGACACTGGCTGCTCTGATTGGTCACCTCTACCGGTCAGTCTGTCCCTCCTCGGGCAGTGTGCATATGTCACTTCCTCAGGAAACAGCATGGTCTAGGAAATCGGGGGACCATCACCGGCTGACCTGGTTCAGTCCAGACATGCCGTGTGCACTGTCTGCCCCCTTCACTTCCCACCTAGCTTCAGGGTCTCTTGGTCCCCTAGGGATATGGAGTGGCCAATGCCAGTGGTGGGTGATACAGGTATAGAGTTTGACAAATGGCCCTGGGACACGCCCCTGTCTCTGAGCTGTGCGGACAGGCTGGGAGGACCGTGCAGTTAGTCTGGGGCTGGGCCTTCCCTCTGGCAGCAAAAAATGGCAAGCAATCGTGCAACCGAAGGTGACTTGTCTGCATTTCTCAGAGGTCGGCACAGACCAGCTTGCAGGGATAGCATTCTGTAATCTTTGTGAGGTTTTTTTTCCCCTTTCTCCCCAGTTGTTATCTTCTGGTTCTATTTTGCCAGAAAATGTCCCATAGTTGGGGCTTCACACTTTCATGTTCTTTCCATCTTCCTTTTATTTGTAACTTTTCAGAACTTTCCCGACACCGGAGGAGTCACAGAGCAGCCAGATGCCAGTCAGTTCTGCCCTTTGCTGCTATGTGACTTTTCCAAAGGTGGAAATGTTACAAAGAACACAGAGGGAAATTGGAAGAAGTGGGGGAAACCCGCTCCGAGGCCATTGCACGTTCAAGTGCATTCAGTGGCCAAAAGAGGGAAGAACAAAAGGCCAAAAACTTGACATTCAAAGTGTCGAAATTAAAGTTTTTAATTTTACATTTTGATGAAAAAAAGTGGAAAATTTCATAACCCTGTGACCTTTCCCCTCCCCCATGGAAATAGAAAAAGGTTTAGAACAAGAAGTTCTGCCTGACTCCAGCAGCTGGATGGGTGGTTCTGAACGGCCCAGCCTCGTCCCATGCTGGGGCTGCTGGGCACGCTCTGAGAACTCTCTCTCTCTCTGCCCCGGCTCGCAGCGTGCAGAAATGTGCTGACTTCAATCAGATGAGCACCAAGAACCTGTCACTGCTCTTTGCTCCCAGCCTTTTCCAGACAGACGGCAAAGGGGAACACGAGGTCAAGGTGATGGAGGACCTGATTGATAACTACGTCCGCATTTTCAACGTAAGCCCCCCACTTGCCCCACCTCCCCCAGCACTGTCTCCTCTCCCTCCTGCACCTCACGTCCCTTCTCTTGCCGCTAGATTGACGAGGACCAGGTGTCGCAGATGGATCTAGAGAACAGCCTCATCACTACCTGGAGGGATGTGCAGGTACGGGCGCCATGCACTCCCCATGTCTTGGATCCTCCTGCTGATTTGTCCATAGCCTCTGCCTGGGCCCGTGGACATGGGTGAGCTTCCATGGTGGAGGCAGATGGCTGGAGAGCAGCCCACCACAGGCCCATGGCTGCAAGTCCTCTGTCCCTGCATAGATCCCAGCTCCAGCATGGGCTGCCCTAGCCACACAATGGGCCCTGTGTTTGCTCTGCAATGAGATCATCTCTTACAAGGCCTCCCCAGGAACAGGAAAGGGCCCTGCCTCCCTGCCTCACCCTGCCCCAGGCCTTCGTGCTCCTGGCCCCTCTCCCTGGTGGGTGGGGCCCCCAACCTGCTCTGTAACTCCCACCCTTCTCACCCTGGGCACTGGTCACAGCGTGCAGCCACTCTGCATGCAAGCATCCCCTTCCTCAGCTCCCTGCAAGCAGACACTGAGAGCTGCTGGCTCAGACCCACCCGTGGCAGTCTCCCAGTCCAGCACTTCACCCAGGCTTTGCCCACCCTCTGCCCTCTCTCCCCGCAGCTCTCACAGGCTGGAGATCTCATCATTGAGGTTTACCTGGAGCAGAAGCTGCCAGACTGCTGTGTCACCCTGAAGGTGAGTGAGCATGTCTTGGCTGCAGCCATGGCTCGGGCAGGGCAGCTGCATGGCCCACCCTCCATATCCCGGCCTTGCTGTCAGCTGGATGGGAGCCTTCACGGGGCCGGAGCTGTGCTGCAGGGTGGGGAGATCTCCCAGTGCCTGGTGGGTGGGGGCGCCACTCTCTGGCTAATTCCCATTCTGCTGCCGGCAGACTCGGTGGCACCCAGAGAAGGCTCAGGCCTTGGCCGGGGTGGGGACTGGGGATGAGCTGATCTTTGCGCTTCCCATAGGTGTCGCCTACCATGACGGCGGAGGAGCTGACCAATCAGGTGCTGGAGATGCGCAACATGCCAGCGAGCCTGGACATCTGGCTGACCTTTGAGGCCCTGGAGAATGGGGAGCTGGGTGAGTGACGGGGACGTCTCTTCACTGGGCGTGCTGGGGGCTGGCTGGGTGATGGGGGTGCTTCTCCACTGGGGGGACTGGGGGCTGGCTGGGTGACGGGGTGCTTCTCCATTGGAGGGGCTGGCTAGGTGACAGGGGTGCTTCTCCATTGGGGGTGAGGACTGGTTGAGTGACAGGGGGTGCTTCTCCATTGGGGGGGCTGGCTGGGTGACAGGGGTGCTTCTCCATTGGGGGGGCTGGCTGGGTGACAGGGGTGCTTCTCCATTGGGGGCGGGTTGAGTGACAGGGGTGCTTCTCCATTGGGGGGGCTGGTTGGGTGACAAGGGTGCTTCTTTATTGGAGGTGGGGGCTGGTTGAGTGACGGGGGCACTTCTCCACTGTGGGGGCTGGGGGCTGGCTGGGTGACAGGGGTGCTTCTCCATTGCGGGGGCTGTTTGGATGACGGGAGTGTTGTCTCTCTATTGGGATGGGGGGACAGGTGAGTAGCGGGGGGAGCACCTCACCATGGGGGTGGGGGCTGGGTGAGTGGCAATGGAGACGGGGGAGGGATGGGGGTGGCCTCTCGTCATTGGAGTGGGGGGCTGAATGGCGGCAGCACTTCTCCATGGGAGCGGGGGTGATCGCTCACCATTGGGGGTGGGGGCTGGGAGGGGGCCCATAGGGCTGTGGGGGAGGAAGGTTGGACCACTCCGTCCATGCAGCGCTCACACCTTGGATCCCCTCTCCCTGCCTCCGCGGCCCCAGATGCTGCAGAGGCAGGGGGTGCCCATGTCTTCTGACAGTCCCGCGCCCTGGCATAGCATGGCAGCACTGGCCCTGTCTGGGCTGTAGCGGGCCTGGCCCTGCTGAGGGAGCTGGACCCTCCCTGGCCTCAGGGCCCACGGCAGTTCCTCTGCTGCCCGGGGTGCAAACGGCCTCCTTTCCTCTCTGTAGAGCGTCCCCTGCACCCCAAGGAGAAGGTCCTGGAGCAGGCTCTGCAGTGGTGCAAGCTGCCTGAGCCCAGTACCGCCTACCTGCTGGTGAGGAAGGTTCCCATTGGACAAGGCAGCTGTCTCTTCACAGGTAAGCACCACCCGCCTTGACTAGGCTGCAAGGCCCTGCTTGAGCCCAGGGCCATTCCTGCGGGGCAAGGTGCAGCACACGGAGCAAGGCCAGCTCCTGCTGCCCATGGCCCCAGTCCAGCCCCGGCCCTGGCCCCAGCTCCCTCTGCCCAAGGCCCCAGCCCCAGTTCCCCTACCCATGGCTCCAGTCCAGCCCCAGCCTCAGCTTCCCCTGACCATGGCCCCGGGCCCAGCTTCCCCTGCCCATGGCCCCAATCCGGCCCCAGCCCCAGCTCCCCCTGCCCATGGCCCCAGCCTGCCTCAGCATCAGATCCCCCTGCTCATGGCCTCTGTCAGGCCCTGCCTTGCCCATGGCTCTGGCCCAGACCAGCCATGGGACCCAGAGCAGCAGCACTGGTTGGTCCCCGTGGCCCGCCCAGTCTGTGGCCTATGCTGAGGCTGCCTGCGGGGGGGGCAGTCAGTGCCTGTTGTGCCTCACACCCAGGAGGTGAAAAGAGACTTGTCCTGTTAGTGATGCTCGGAGCTAGCCAGGGCTGTGAAACAGCAACTCCTGCAGGGAAACCAGTGGGACAGAGCCAGGGCGAGGGGGACTTTGACCCTGCTCCTACTGTTTGCCCCCCACCATTGTCTGTCACACACACACACACACACCCTGACCCCTTCCGCTCCTAATCCCCATCCCCAGCCTGCTCCTGCCCTGCCCAGGCCCTCTCTCTGGGTGCCCAGGACATTCCTCACCCCCTTGTTCTTCCCTGTCGTGCAGGTGCCAAGCGCGAGAGCCCCAAGTGTGGGGTGCTGAAGTGTCGGGAGGAGCCCCCCAAACTCCTGGGCTGCAAGTTTCAGGAGCGATACTTTGTCATCCAGGATCACAAGCTGCTGCTGCTGAAGGAGAAAAGGGTAAAGCAGGACCCAGACCTGGTGCTCCGGGGCAGCCCAGACACGGGTGCAGCGCTGGGCTAGGAGGGGGCCTGCCACAGCCCCTGGGATCAGGGCCCCCCTCTCCTGTGGTGGAAAGCTCTCCCAGAGATCGGGCAGGAAGGCCAACGCCCTGCCCTGCCTCCAGCCACGGGAATGGGGCGTGCGGTCTGGGGGGAGGGACTGCCAGACCTGGCTCTGAGAGGCGGCCGTTCGGCCAGCTTGTGCCAGGGGAAGGTTCTGGATTCTCTCTGTGCCCCTCACACACCCAAGTCTTGGGGCCCTTTTCCCCTGTGCAGAGTGGGAGGCCCTGTCCCATCCCTGGGGCTGGTTGAGAGGGGTGCAGGTGGGGATAGGAGGCCTCAGGGAGAGGAAGAGAGGGGTGCCAGTGAGGCTGGAAGGGCTGGGCTAGTGTGGGAGGGTGCTGGCAGAGAGCGGAGTGTAGGGCTTGGGGAGGGGAGGAGAGCCGGCAGAAAGAGGAGGGCAGGTCGGGGTGAGGGGAGGTGTGCAGACGGGGAGGGCAAGGCAGGGCTGGGGGGATGGGGAATGTCCATGGGGGCAGGGCTGAGTGTCTGGCTTTCTCTTCCCAGAGTGCCCGGCCGGAGCGGGAGTGGCCCCTCAACATGGCCAAGGTTTACATGGGGATTCGGAAGAAGCTGAAGCCGCCGTCCCAGTAAGAGTCGGGCTTGGGGTGCAGGACCCTTCCGAGCAGTAACGCCTGCACTGATGATAACCTCCCCACACCCGCTGCCCAGAGCCGGCCCCAGCACTGTGCCTGGCATCTGTCAGCACCCCCACTTCCCTGCCCTGTTTGCAAGCACTACCCCTAACTCTACCCCAGACTTGTCCTACAGCCTCAGGCGTGACCTCCGCCAGGAGGAGCCCTGATTCGACCCCCCTTGTGCCAGGTGAGCTCTAATCCCATCACCCAGCTGCAGTGCCCCAGCTCCAGAGCCAGCCTGATAGGGACCTGCCAGTCTGCCCCAGCTCGGACCCTGCGACCCCCCCAGTTCAAGCCCCCGCCCACCTGGAGCTCTGGCTCTAGCACCTGCCCTGGCCTGATTGTGCCTTGTGTCCCTCTGCTCTAGGTGGGGATTCACTCTGATCCTGGACAAGCAGCAGCTGTGAGTACCTCATGGGGTCCCCTTGCCCCAGGGACGCAGGATGTCGGGGTCCCTGTAGCCATGGCCTGCTGCTCGGGATCCCCGGCAACTAGGGCTCAGGAACCTGACGCAGGGAGCTGGAACCTGAGAGCAGACAAGTTCTGCCAAAGCCACTAGCTGCCCATCCTGGTGGCACAGACTGCAGAGCATCAGCAGCATGGACATTGCCTGCTCCCTGCCCCCCATCCCACTCTCCCCCACTGGCCCCTGCTCCCTGTGCTGAATACACACACGTGTGCACTGGCCTCTGCCCATGAATTCACTACTCCCCACATGAGCTTTCCAGACTGCCCAGACTTGCTCTGGGGCTCCAGGGCCCACCATGAGCTGCATCTTTAAGAGCGCCCAGCACATGGCCTCCTGCACCCCCGGTTCCAGTTGAGAGTCTGCTGGCCCCAGCCCATCCCCTGTGATGGGCCAGATGCTTGTACATCCCCATGTCCTTTCTCACGGTCTGAGTCCTCATCCAGTGAGCCTGCCAGGGTGTGTGGTCCTGATGGCATGTTCCCACTGCCCCCATGAGCTCATTGCATCTCACACTGCTCTACACAGATTTCAGAGTAGCAGCCGTGTTAGTCTGTATCCGCAAAAAGAACAGGAGTACTTGTGGCACCTTAGAGACTAACAAATTTATTAGAGCATAAGCTTTCATGGGCTACAGCCCACTTTTTCGGATGCATAGAATGGAACATATATTGAGGAGATATATATACACACATACAGAGAGCATGAACAGGTGGGAGTTGTCTTACCAACTTATCAAGCATTCTTAAAACTACAATACCCACCTGCTGAAGTGAAAAAACAGATTGACAGAGCCAGACGAGTACCCAGAAGTCACCTCCTACAAGACAAGCCCAACAAAGAAAATAACAGAACACCACTAGCTGTCACCTTCAGCCCCCAACTAAAAC